GCTGTCTGGAACTAAGAAAGTTCGATATTTGAGGTTCCACTGTAAGTGTCACAGGCCGAAAATTCTTCAACTGTCTCCCTGCATACATAAGGGGGGATTACTAGTAGACCCCTAGCTGTCTTCAAGAGGGAGCTGGACAGGCAGCTAAAGTCAGTAGTATCTGACCAGCTGGGCTGAGGGAGCTGGACAGGCAGCTAAAGTCAGTAGTATCTGACCAGCTGGGCTGTGTTTTGTATGTCAGTTTGTGTGCAGCTGGCAGTAATCACTTGGTTGATCAGGCAATGAGCCACCTCGAGGCCTAGTCATGGATTGGGCCATAGGGGTACTGACCCCCAGGACACCCTCCAGGTATACTCAAGGTATAAATCCCTCTCTTATATATGCCTTATTTAAGTCATTTAGTGCTATAAGACATACAGACTTAGCCCTTGCTTGTGAATACAAGAACAACAACAATAAAACATACACAAAACAACTATATGTACATGTATTTCAGTTGCTGTGAAATCCGAGAAGGGTACCCTTGTTATCCAAAAGCAAAGCCTCTCCGCCTCAAAGCACGCAAAACAAATAGTGGAGGGTGGTCATAAAATTCCAACACAGCAAAATATAAAAAAAATGTATATGTGGATGTTTATGCATATGAATTTCTGTAAGTATGTACAATTTCATATGTATACATGTGATTATGAATTTGAATATATATACACACATACATTTGTGCATGTAAATGTAAACTTTTTTGATGTATGCATGTGCAGATATATATACTTATCTGCATGCACAGATGTATATCTTTCTTCTTTCAACAAACCAGCCATATCCCACTAAAGCAGAGTGACCCAAAAAGAAAAACAAAAGTTTCTCTTTTTAACTTTAGTAATGTATACAGGAGAAGGGGTTACTAGCCCCTGGCATGTTAGTAGCCTCTTATGACATGCATAGCTTACCGACCTACTACTCATTGATGTATATATATGTATTTTTTTTAACACACTGGTGGTCTCCCACCAAGGCAGGGTGACCCAAAAAAAGAAACACTTTTATCATCATTCATACTATCACTGTTTTGCCAGAGGTTCATAGATACCACATTTCAGATGTCCCCCCAAACAACAAATATCCCCACCCCCTCCTTTAGAGTGAGGTCTCTGTACTTCCCATCTCCAGGACTCAAGTCCAGCTAACTGGTTTCCCTAAATCCCTTCACAAAATGTTATCTTGCTCACAATTCAACAGCTCATCAGGTCCCAAGAACCATTTGCCTCCACTCACTCCTATCAAACACGCCTACACATACCTACTAGATGTCCAAGCCATTTGCATACAAAACCTCCTTTATCCCTCAATTGCAGACAAGCAATCTTAACAATGCAATAGCTAATGTGCTATCACTGGAACTAGAGTCCTGCGGCAAATGGGTAACAGAAAACAACCTATCACTACATCTCGGGAAAACAGAAGCCATACTATTTGGCACAAAAAGTAAACTGAAAAGGGTAAATACTTTTAATGTCCACTGTAATGGGGAACCCATCACTTCATTATCTTCACTGAAATATCTGGGAATTCTCTTTGACCGAAGCATGTCAGGAGAATTGATAGTGAACAGTGTAATAAAAATAGTGAATACCAGGTTAAAGTTCCTCTATAGACAGCACAGTGTCTACATACCTAATTAATGGTCCACATTGGACCGAAATGTTGTCATAAGTTTCATTCTCCTATGTGTGGGTTATTTATGTATTTTTCCAGTCACGGTATTCTGCTTTTGTATTCTTTCTCTACCTATTGAAGCTCAGAGGACCCCATGTCTAGCTCTCATACAAAGTCATGTAGATTATTCTTGTTCTTCATGGTATTCTGTTCTAAGAAAAAATTAAAGACAGACCACAAATCAGCCAGAACAAAATGGTGAGATTCATCCTGGACCTGGGTCCAAGAAAGAATATAGGCCAGGATGAATTACAATAACTGAATATGCTGAATGTTGAGGACAGAGTAAAGCAACTGAAATTAAGTCATGTTTATAAAATTGTTCACAAGTAGTGTCCAGAATATCTTGCTATAAAGTCCGTTAAGGTTAAGAGCCAAAACTAGTATGGTACTAGGGAAAGTGAACACAATTTTGTAGTCCCTACAACAGGTGGTCAGGCCTTCACCTTTTATTATACAGCCATAAAGGAGTGAAACGAGTTGCCTGAACATGTCAAAGCCTGTCCTAGCATTATCCAGTTCAGAAAGAGAGCTTAAAGGTTACTAATATGAAGCTACAGAAAGGGACAAGAAGGATTTCTTGTATGGCTAACATTCGTGTACCTATTATCGTAAACTGATTTTTCTCTATTCAATGTTCTTGTAAATAACTCGGTTCACTTCATTCCCATTGTACCTCTTTTTACTGTAACTGATTTTCATGCAGTTGATTTATATAGTTGTTTTAATTTTTAAGGGTATTATGATGACTGATTTCTGCTGTATCTTATAGCTAAGCATTAAATAATAAGATTTTGCAGAAACCCCAATTGAAATAAATCACTTTGATTTTTTTTGGGTTATCCTGGGTAATTTATATACATGTATGTTAATATGTTCTAGGTAGTAGGTTGGTAGACAGCAACCGTCCAGGGAGGTACTACCGTCCTGCCAAGTAAGTCTAAAACAAAAGCCTGTGATTGTTTTGCATGATGGTAGGATTGCTGGTGTCACCACATACATACACTACACATACATGTACAAGCACATATATACACACCCCTCTGGGTTTTCTTCTATTTTCTTTCTAGTTCTTATTCTTGTTTATTTCCTCTTATCTCCATGGGAAAGTGGAACAGAATTCTTCCTCCGTAAGCCATGCGTGTTGTAAGAGGCGACTAAAATGCCGGGAGCAAGGGGCTAGTAACCTCTTCTCCTGTATATATTACTAAATGTAAAAGGAGAAACTTTCGCTTTTCCTTTTGGGCCACCCCGCCTCGGTGGGATACGGCCGGTGTGTTGAAAGAAAGAAAGATGTTAATATGTAGGTAGTAGGTTGGTAGACAGCAACCGCCCAGGGAGGTACTACCGTCCTGCCAAGTGAGTGTAAAACGAAAGCCTGTAATTGTTTTACATGATGGTAGGATTGCTGGTGTCCTTTTTTCTGTCTCATGAACATGCAAGATTTCAGGTATGTCTTGCTACTTCTACTTACACTTAGGTCACACTACACATACATGTGCAAGCACACATATACACACCCCACTGGATTTTCTTCTATTTTCTTTCTTGTTCTTATTCTTGTTTATTTCCTCTTATCTCCATGGGGAAGTGGAACAGAATTCTTCCTCTGTAAGCCATGCGTGTTGTAAGAGGCGACTAAAATGCTGGGAGCAAGGGGCTAGTAACCCCTTCTCCCGTATAAATTACTAAATTTAAAAAGAGAAACTTTTGTTTTTCTTTTTTGGGCCACCCTGCCTTGGTGGGATACAGCCGGTTTGTTGAAAGAAGAAAGAGTGTTCTTGTAAATAACTCGGTTCACTACATTCCCATTGTACCTCTTTGTACTGTAACTGATTTTCATGCAGTTGATTTATATAGTTGTTTTAATTTTTAAGGGTATTATCATGACTGATTTCTGCTGTATCTTATAGCTAAGCATTAAATAATAAGATTTTGCAGAAACTCCAATTGAAATAAATCACTTTGACTTTTTTTTGGGTTATCCTGGGTAATTTATACACATATATGTTAATATGTAGGTAGTAGGTTGGTAGACAGCAACCGCCCAGGGAGGTACTACCGTCCTGCCAAGTGAGTGTAAAACGAAAGCCTGTAATTGTTTTACATGATGGTAGGATTGCTGGTGTGTTTTGTCTGTCTCATAAACATGCAAGATTTCAGGTATATCTTGCTACTTCTACTTACGCTTAGGTCACACTACACATACATGTACAAGCATATAGTATATACACACCCCTCTGGGTTTTCTTCTATTTTCTTACTAGTTCTTGTTCTTGTTTATTTCCTCTTACCTCCATGGGGAAGTGGAACAGAATTCTTCCTCCGTAAGCCATGCGTGTTGTAAGAGGCAACTAAAATGCCAGGAGCAAGGAGTTAGTAACCCCATCTTCTGTATATATTACTAAATGTAAAAGGAGAAACTTTCGTTTCTCCTTTTGGGCCACCCCACCTCGGTGGGATACGGCTGGTGTGTCGAAAGAAAGAAGATATGTTACTATGTATTATAATTGTAATCACCTAAATCTGTATACTATACTTGTATGTACCTGTACCTGTACCTAAATTTTTTTTTTTTTTTTCAACAAGTTGGCCGTCTCCCACCGAGGCAGGGTGACCCAAAAAAGAAAGAAAATCCCCAAAAAGAAAATGCTTTCATCATCATTCAACACTTTCACCACACTCACACATTATCACTGTTTTTGCAGAGGTGCTCAGAATACAACAGTTTAGAAGCACATACGTATAAAGATACACAACATATCCCTCCAAACTGCCAATATCCCAAACCCCTCCTTTAAAGTGCAGGCATTGTACTTCCCATTTCCAGGACTCAAGTCCCACTATATGAAAATAACCGGTTTCCCTGAATCCCTTCACTAAATATTACCCTGCTCACACTCCAACAGATCGTCAGGTCCCAAGTACCATTCGTCTCCATTCACTCCTATCTAACACGCTCACGTACGCTTGCTGGAAGTCCAAGCCCCTTGCTCACAAAACCTCCTTTACCCTCTCTCTCCAACCTAAATATACTTACACATATAACATTAGTACCTCCTTAGACTCATTATCATTCACATGATAATATAATAATGTTCATGGGGAAGTGCTAAACCTATAGGGTCATACAATGCTTGGATATTTTTATGAGGATACAACATTAATATATTCTTTACAAATATATATATTCTTTACAAAGATATTTTTACTAAAGATACTGCATGATATCAAGAATATACATTGATGCTAAAACGCCAACCTAAAAGAATTCATGAACTTACATGTCTAATAAATATACAACAGTGATAGTTGATGTCAACTCTGTGAAAGAGAAAAACAGTTGATGGTTCCACTGGGTGTAGAAGTCATCATTCCAGTAATTGAAGTACGACCACCAAGAGTAATAATGAGGATAGATGCTGGTGCCTAGGAGAACCAACATGGACCACCGTACCTGAACCATCATAGTATTAATACACATGAATTATGAAGTTTGGCTATTAATGCTAAAAAATTACTGTACCATATATTTGTATAAAGGACTGTATACAGGGTGTACCAACTTATGAACAAATTGTGTTCTGGATGTAGCAACATACAATGAAGTTGTTGGTAATACTGGACTATTTTACACACACACACAAAAAAAAAAATACATAGTATGAAGAATGACCGTTATACAGCATCCCACTAAACCACTATTTCTTATCTATTTTTAAATATTTACTATGTACTATTATACTGTCTAGTTTTAAGTAGTTACTATGTATTAGGATTAGTCTGCCCGAAATGCCCCAGCATGATAGTGGCTTTCTTTGTACTTAGCAAAACAAAATTGTAATTACACATTGTAACATTTACAAAGAAATAAACCTTTGTCTTTATCTTTTATCATGTTCGTAAATGCCAACTGGCAGTTATAAAACTAATTTGATTAACAGTGTTTTGTGTGGATGTTTTTTACTCTTGGCATTTATAGAGTCAAAAATGTTGTTATGGGTGTCTATTAAGATCTTGAGAAGGCTTATGACAACTGGCAATATAGTATACAGCCTCTCCTCACTTAACAATGTACTTGTTTACCGACGTCTCAGACTTACAATGGACTCTCTGACCAGTATGCATACCTAAATAATGTATATTAGAGCTAATTTCCTCTATTCTGTTTATTAGAATACATAGTACACTACTGTACGAACATTTAAAAATATATCAGAAATGTTACAAATGGTGCAAAGGTGACATTAAAACAATATCAAAGGTGGTTGACATTAACCCACTACCATTATATTATGCTCCTCACTTAGTGACAAATTCATTTACCGACGTGATCTTAGGAACGGAACTCTGTTGTTAAATTAGGAAAGGCTGCATTTTTCCAAGTGTACATCAATAGTAGAATGTACAGACAAGTATGTTAAGAAGACTCAAAATGCAGTTTATGATATTTTATTAAGATGTTTTGTCCACCAAGAACTTTATCAATTGATAACATCCCAGGTAGACAAAACATCTTCTCAATAAAATGCAATAAATCACATATTGTGTGTTATTAACACATCTTCCCAACTACTTTCTTTTGGCCTCCAGGGCTGGCAACACAATGCTTTTTCTTTAGACATATTTAAGTGATAGTTTTTTTTGTGTTCAGGTCAATAAGTTTTTCTACAATCTGCAGAACAAGCTTTTACTGGGACAGTGTTTTGATATGTTAAGATCGTTATCAAGGCATACAGAAGATATAAAATTTATGCAACATACTTCAGGGAGCGGAGGAAGAGGTGAGGTTAGTGAAGTTTAATATAAGAGTGACAAACCATACCTGGAGTTTACCTGGAGAGAGTTCCGGGGGTCAACGCCCCCGCGGCCCGGTCTGTGACCAGGCCTCGTGGTGGATCAGAGCCTGATCAACCAGGCTGTTACTGCTGGCTGCATGCAAACCAACGTACGAGCCACAGCCCGGCTGATCAGGAACCGACTTTAGGTGCTTGTCCAGTGCCAGCTTGAAGACTGCCAGGGGTCTGTTGGTAATCCCCCTTATGTATGCTGGGAGGCAGTTGAACAGTCTCGGGCCCCTGACACTTATTGTATGGTCTCTTAACGTGCTAGTGACACCCCTGCTTTTCATTGGGGGGATGTTGCATCGTCTGCCAAGTCTTTTGCTTTCGTAGTGAGTGATTTTCGTGTGCAAGTTCGGTACTAGTCCCTCTAGGATTTTCCAGGTGTATATAATCATGTATCTCTCTCGCCTGCGTTCCAGGGAATACAGGTTCAGGAACCTCAAGCGCTCCCAAGCGCTCCTCAAGCGCCGGGATTGAACCCGCGGTCAGAGAGTCTCAAAACTCCAGCCCGTCGCGTTAGCCACTAGACCAGCTAGCCACAATAAGATTCGTCCAACTAGGTATATTTCTACACCACAGGAAGGTTAGCACAGGCACCACTGTGACCACAAATGCAAGTTTTTACAGACGAATCTCCAGCTAGCATGGCCGTGACGAACTCTAGCTCAAGTCCCTTCACTGCCGTCAACATGACTCTCTGACCGCGGGTTCAATCCCGGCCGGGGTATGGTTTGTTTGCAATCATGTCATTACGATTTCGTGAGTCAGAGTGACAAATCTTGGGCTGGTGGAATACTGCAAGAGGTACAGGTGTCCTTCACTCTATGCAATGTATACATTCAAGGCCTATGTTCATTAGCTACCCTTCTCATTGTGCATATAACTGTAGTTAACTGCATAAAAAATCCTACTAAATAGTCAATGCATAATTCTTAAGTAGTCTTTAAGCATTAGGATAGTTTGCCCAAAATACATTATATACTAATGGCTTTCTTTTGTGCCAAACAGTTTATTATTACATGTAAATTACATTACTTTTGTACCACAACCACAGGATTACCAAAGCTATTATCCAGAGGGCTGAGGAGGGATTGCTGAGGTGATTTGAACATGTAGAGAGGATGGAACAAAATATTATGAGTTTGAGAGTGTATAAATCTGTAGTGGAGGGAAGGCAGGGTAGGGGTTGGCCTAGGGAAGGTTGGAGGGAGGGGGTAAAGCAGGTTTTTTGTGCAAGGGGCTTGGACTTCCAGCAAGTATGTGTGAGCATGGTAGATAGGAGCAAATGGAGACAAATGGTTTTTAGGACTTGATGTGCTGTTGCAGTGTGAGCAAGGTAACATTTATGAAGAGATTCAGGGAAACCAGCAGGCTGGACTTGAGTCCTGGAGATGGGAAGTACAGTGTCTACACTCTGAAGGAGGGGTGTTAAAGTTTATAACTGTAGTGTAAGCATGCCTCTGGCAAGACAGTGATGGAGTGAATTATGATGAAAGTTTTTCTTTTTTGGGCCACCCTGCCTTGGTGGGAGATGGCTGATGTGTTAATAAAAAAAAAAAAAAAAAATTAATTAGAATATGAATTTGAATGGCAGCTGTGACAAGCTCAGTCAGGCTATCAGCAGTTAATTATGCATAATAAGAACCTATAATACACTTCATGAACCACATTGATTGCATATGGTAAATGTACAGCTAGCCCTCCACTTTTGCGAGTTCCACTTTCGCGAGCTTCGAACATTCGTGAATGCCCAGCTGCCCAATCATATTTACCAAACAAAGAGTTAGAAGAGTTAGAATCCACACACTAGACACTTCATGCCATACAGTTACACTCCATATAATCACCTCCGGTCAACTGTCATCAGTAACTGCATGGCTAACTATCATCATCATTGTTATCATCATCACAAGTCGTCAGAGTTCGTCTGCCTAACCTTGTAGATGAATGGTTCACAGAACCGACACGTTGATAAATTAGACACATGTGCAACTCTTGGGTATCTTTATTAAGGAAACGTTTCGCCACACAGTGGCTTCATCAGTCCATATACAGGAGAAGCTTGAAGAATAGGAGAATGAGGTAATCAGTCCCTCAACCTTGAGTCGATGATTACCTCATTCTCCTATTCTTCAAGCTTCTCCTGTGTATGGACTGATGAAGCCACTGTGTGGCGAAACGTTTCCTTAATAAAGATACCCAAGAGTTGCACACATAAGGGGGATTACCAACAGACCCCTGGCAGTCTTCAAGCTGGCACTGGACAAGCACCTAAAGTCAGTTCCTGATCAGCCGGGCTGTGGCTCGTACGTTGGTTTGCGTGCAGCCAGCAGCAACAGCCTGGTTGATCAGGCGCTGATCCACCAGGAGGCCTGGTCACAGACCGGACCGCGGGGGCGTTGACCCCCGAAACTCTCTCCAGGTAAACTCCAGGTGTCTAATTTATCTGCCTAACCTTACGAGTGGTGAGTGTTTTGTGTGTTCATTATTTGTTATTAAACCATAACATGTACATACAATATTTTACATATGTTTTCATGTGTTTTATGATTATTTGTGGCTCAATAGATTAATTAAGGAAGCAGTATTGTTAGGCTAAGTAAATGCTATTATTATATTTCCCAACAATATATTTGTGTACCAAACATTTACGAAGTTTCAAGATTCACGAGGTTCTTGATTCCCTAACCCTCACAAATGTAGAGGGTCCCCTGTACATTACACATTTGAAATCACCATGTTGGCAGCAAGCCATTAAGTTCTAAGAGCCTTTTCTGTAATTTTGATCATGATGAAGGTGTATTATAAGGATGTGTCCTCAGCACTACCTTGCTCCTAACTGCTATCAATGAACTCACCTTGGCTCTCCATAATTGGAGTTGTTCTTCCCTGAACATAGACAATTTTCCCATTGATTACGCTAACAGAATCATTGAACTGATGACCTCCTCGCAATATGTTGATGACTCACATAGGTTGAACCTCTTCACACAAGTTCATACTCTGACTCCAAAAACAGTTCTGTTTTACATGTTGCCCTGTTATTCCCTCTGTCTTATGTCTCAGCATGGTTCTCCTATCATAACTTTCCAAACCATTAAATTAGCAGCCCTCCTCTTCAATTGTTGCATGTGAAAATAAAAATGAAAATGTAAAGATGCACTGACAACAAGCATAGCTATGAGAAGCAATACAAACTGAGAGTAACACCTATCACACTCACAAAGAAAGCAAAACAACTATATTCTGCCAACAGATTCAATCAGATTAAAGGAAATATAAAAAAAATATCATAAGTACTATCAAATATTGGGCACAAGTAAATTCACCAAATCCAAAGATCTAGTTTTAACTAAACCTAATGAATGTTCCCTACGAGCCTCTGAGACAGTAAATCAATTACATGAATTTTTCTCAACCACAGAAACAAATCTAGATGGCAAAGTCACATATATACACCTACCATCCGACTTACGACCGAGTTCGGTTCCGAGAAACCGGTCGTAAGTCGAAATGGTCGTAAGTCAAACTTTACTACTGAATATCAACAAAACATTTTTGTAATGACTTTATTTTATTGTTTTATTTTATTTATTTTTATTTATTTTGTTTATTTGGGTGTGTAGAAGAGAGGGAGACTACTTCCCAGTAAAAGTAGGTCTTAGACAGGGATGTATAATGTCACCATGGTTGTTTAATATATTTATAGATGGGGTTGTAAAAGAAGTAAATGCTAGGGTGTTCGGGAGAGGGGTGGGATTAAATTATGAGGAATCAAATTCAAAATGGGAATTGACACAGTTACTTTTTGCTGATGATACTGTGCTTATGGGAGATTCTAAAGAAAAATTACAAAGGTTAGTGGATGAGTTTGGGAATGTGTGTAAAGGTAGAAAGTTGAAAGTGAACATAGAAAAGAGTAAGGTGATGAGGGTATCGAATGATTTAGATAAAGAAAAATTGGATATCAAATTGGGGAGGAGGAGTATGGAAGAAGTGAATGTTTTCAGATATTTGGGAGTTGACGTGTCGGCAGATGGATTTATGAAGGATGAGGTTAATCATAGAATTGATGAGGGAAAAAAGGCGAGTGGTGCGTTGAGGTATATGTGGGGTCAAAAAATGTTATCTATGGAGGCAAAGAAGGGAATGTATGAAAGTATAGTAGTACCAACACTCTTATATGGATGTGAAGCTTGGGTGGTAAATGCAGCAGCGAGGAGATGGTTGGAGGCAGTGGAGATGTCCTGTCTAAGGGCAATGTGTGGTGTAAATATTATGCAGAAAATTCGGAGTGTGGAAATTAGGAGAAGGTGTGGAGTTAATAAAAGCATTAGTCAGAGGGCAGAAGAGGGGTTGTTGAGGTGGTTTGGTCATTTTGAGAGAATGGATCAAAGTAGAATGACATGGAAAGCATATAAATCTATAGGGGAAGGAAGGAGGGGTAGGGGTCATCCTCGAAAGGGTTGGAAAGAGGGGGTAAAGGAGGTTTTATGGGCGAGGGGCTTGGATTTCCAGCAAGCGTGCATGAGATTGTTAGATAGGAGTGAATGGAGACGAATGATACTTGGGACCTGACGATCTGTTGGAGTGTGAGCAGGGTAATATTTAGTGAAGGGATTCAGGGAAACCGGTTATTTTCATATAGTTGGACTTGAGTCCTGGAAATGGGAAGTACAATGCCTGCACTTTAAAGGAGGGGTTTGGGATATTGGCAGTTTGGAGGGATATGTTGTGTATCTTTATACGTATATGCTTCTAAACTGTTGTATTCTGAGCACCTCTGCAAAAGCAGTGATAATGTGTGAGTGTGGTTTAAGTGTTGAATGATGATGAAAGTATTTTCTTTTTGGAGATTTTCTTTCTTTTTTTGGGTCACCCTGCCTCGGTGGGAGACGGCCGACTTGTTGAAAAAAAAAAAAAATGTTTTACTTTACTTTTTATGCTGTTAGTACTGTATTTTATACTGTAAGATTTAGGATAAACACTGTGTACAACACAAATAGTTGTTTATTTCCCAGAAATTTGGCATAAAAAACACGGTCGTAAGTCGAGTGGTCGTAAGTCGAGCATGTCGTAAGTCGGATGGTAGGTGTATACTCCCTCACCCAAGTTAAGAGATTATCTTACTGATAGCCACCAAAACTCACTACACTCATCCTGGGTTCTAGAAAATTGTCCAGAAACAGAAATATACACTTAACTAAACCAAATGAACCACCAATCCAGCCTTCAAACACTGCTAACATACATAATGACTTGTCAACTTCTTCTTTCAACAAACTGGCCGTATCCCACCATGGCAGGGAGGCCCACTTCTACCACTACCACTACTACTACCTCTTCTACTACTACTACTACTACTGATGAAATTGAGACACATGTGCGGCGTCTGGGTGTCTTTGTTGTGGACGTTTCGCCATCCAGTGGCTGGCTGGATGGCGAAACGTCTACGATAGGGATGCCCGGGTGTTGCGCATGTGTCTTAATTTCATCTTGTCGGTATTATATACCATTCTTGTACTACTACTACTACTACTACCACCACCTCTTCCTGCCTATATATAGCCATCCTGCTCCTCTTCTGGTTAGTGTGACTTTGTAAATGGTCCAAGTCGGACCGAAACGTCGTCGTAAGCTTCTCTCTTTTATGTGCGGGTTATTTGTGTAATAATAATAATAATAATAATAATAATAATAATAATAATAATAATAATAATAATTCATTTTGACATGATACATAGTTGTACAGGAATATAATAGTTGGGTGTACATGCCAAAAGCCCCTTGTATGCAGAGCATTTTGGGGAAACTTAAAATTAACTTAAGAATAATAAGGCTACAACAGATTAAATGGTCATTGATGATGTTACAATGAGTACAAGAGAAGTGAGTATTAATAGGTAATGCTATAAGGCTTTAATAAGTCTAGTAGAGAATAATTACAGTTTTGAATTATTTTATAAAAATTACAGTATTACAACAGAACAATCTATAATATGAAGTATTACAATAAGAGTGTAATACTACATCCAATTAGCTGTCAAACTCACATATATAACTTACACTAAAATTAATTAAATAACTTTGAGAAGTTTATAAAATTTAATGAAATGACCTGACAAAGATAAGGTAAGAAGGAAGACAAATACAATATGAACTAGTGTAGCATAAAGAAGTAAAGTCTTTTGTGATAACACACCTTGCCAGCAATATAAATCTTGACCAGCCTCTTGAAAGTTTCATATAAAAGTATGATAGCCAAGACTGTAACACTCCAGATCTTGAGTGTATTGGAGGTGATGTTAAAGTAAACATGCTTATACCCTGCTGGCCCTCTCTCATATACTCCTGAAACACATCACATATACTGTAGTACAATATTAATGATTGTACAGCAGCAGTAAATCCACCAACAAAAGAACATTAAAACACGAAACAAATGTTGCCAAAATATTCATTTCGAAATTTTTTTTATTAATACATCAGCTGTTTCCCGCTGAGGCAGGGTGACCCCAAAAAATATACGTAATCGTCAAATTACACAATCAGTCCTAAAAACAATAAAAATATAATGCAAACATTTTATAAACAACGTTATCATGGTGATGGGAATGATGACTACTGACTGAGATTCAATCACATAAGAAGTCTTTTCTAATAGGTTTTAACCCTTTCAGGGTTTTTGATGTACTAGTACGGCTTATGCACCAGCGTTATTGACGTACTAGAACGCCTAAATTCTAGCACCTTCAAATCTAGCGAGAGAAAGCTGGTAGGCCTATGTATGAAAGAATGGGTTTATGTGGTCGGTGTGCGCAATATAAAAAAAATCCTGCGGCACAGTGCGTAATGAGAAAAAAAAACTTTGATCGTGTTTTTTTATTAAAACAGCGACTTTGCACTGTATTTTCGTATGGTATTTATGGTTGTATTCTAGTTTTCCTGGTCTCATTTTATAGAATGGAAGACATATTACAGAAATTGAGATGATTTTGATTGGTTTCACAATGAAAAGTACCTTGAAACTGAGCTCAAAGTAGCAGAAATGTTCAATTTTTACCAAAGTTCAAATGTAAACAAATCATGCCATTCATCCAATACACATCAACTGGTGAGTCTAATATTCTTTCACAAGTGCATTGATATTATTTATACCATTTCTACACTAATGCAGTAGTCTGCATAACAGTAAATCTATTTTTTGTAAAAATAAAAATTCAAAGCGGAAAGCGAAAGAAATATAAGAGGGGAATGGGGACGTGACTAACGAACAGAGATTTGTTATTTTAGTGCCAAGAATGTCTGTCTGGTTTATTCTGGACCCTATTTGGAAATTGGCATCTTCTGAAATTTGTGTGAAATTGGCAAAGTGCCAATTTCTAACCACTTTATTGGATAGTTGAAATTGGTAAATGGGTGGTTTCTTGTACTCATTCGATAGAAAAAATGGAGTTCTAGAAAAATAAATCTGATTTTTGTCGACTTGCACACAGGAATTGGCCGAAAATAGGGCTCAAAGTTGGTGAAATCGCTGATGCGTAAACAATGGCGAGGCCGCTAACTTCGCGAGAGCATAATTTCGTAAGTTTTCCATCAAATTTCATTCTTTTGGTTTCATTATGATCGGGAAAAGATTCTCTATCATTTCATAAGAAAAAATAATTTTTTTTCCGAAAAATTTTCGACCCTGAGAACAAGTTGAGGAGAAGGCCTCTCGACCCTGAAAGGGTTAATAGCTTTTCTAGGAAAAGCTATTTAAACATGTATCCCAGTCAGCAGTGGCACATTGCAAGCTGCACAGACAGGAACAGCAGTTCCTGCAATCTGGTCTTAATCGAATAAAACCTCAATATAACCGATCTCTATAAGATGGATATCAAATAAAACAAAAAAATCTCAGCAAATCTGCTACATGGGGTGTCCGATAAAATTATTAGTGGAGCAGGGAAAGTCCATTGCATTCTATGGTTTGTTGATCCAGTTGCAGCATTAATGAAGAAAACCAAGTCTGCTTCCTCACAGGTTTGTCTGGTCTGAGCTTCATCCATGACATGTCTTGCTTTCATTAATCCTGGGCAAGCAGCTCAGTCTATATCAGTTTTGTTATGGCTGTGCTCACATACTATCATCATTTGGCCTTCAAGTTTTACTGAATTTACAGTGTTTATCATCATTTTATTAAAGTAGACTGTGTACTATTGTTAACAATGGTTTATAAAACAAGTGATGGTGCAGAAACTTGAATTAATAAGGAAGCTGTAGTTTGGCATCTCAGTTCCTTGGGTGTAGGAAAAATATAATGTAGCAAAGCATTGACTGAAATCTGCAGAAGCAAAGACAAACTTACAGAGTATGCTATGAAGCACAGTGTAAAGACTAGGCAGCAAGATTCTGCAGTTGTTCCTAGGAAGTAATGAAAATGGCCCATGATACAAAGACTGAAGAAGCAGTGCATAAATGGCATGTTCAACAGCCTGCTGCTGGTGTTAACATTCTTTCTGCTGAACACTGCTCTACTTCTTAGAAGCTAGCAAACCATGTAACCATAAAATTTGGGGCAAATGAGGGTTGGCTTTGGCACGTCCATAATTGCTGTGGCTTAACATAACATAATAGTGAGGCTGCTAATGCATGTATGTCTCCTCAACCATCTATGTCTGTTGAATCACCTACATCTCCCACATCATCTACCTGTATATCTCCCACAACATCTGTAATGTTACTGATAAAGCTGTAAGCCCCTATGAGTCAAAATAAAAGTTATTCTGAGTCACCACTAGACAACTGTTACACTTTTTTTGAAAGGGTCAGCTATTTAACCCTTTCAGGGTCCGTGCCATAGATCTATGGCTATACGTTGAGGGTCTAAACTGTAGATCAGCTGTGGCATGCAAAGAGTATGTAACCTTTATTTGGCGCATGTACACACCCTCATTTACAGGCTGTCTCCCCAACCAGCGAACCAGGTTGCTAAGAGTTGATGATGGGGCCCCGTCGTTCAACTAGTGACCAGGTTCTAGCCAATAAGAAGATGGTTTTGGCAATCGCAGAGGTTATGTGGGTACCACTCTCCTGTCTGCCCTGGTCATTCCTATTCTAGAGCTGGTTGAAGCACGGTCTGCTATCTTGTGGCTTCTATTTCTGCCTTTGCTTACGTGGAAGTGACAACTATACTTATCATGTACATAGTGGACCATACTGTGTTCTAATTGGTGAAGGGATAATATAAAGTCTAAACTTTTTCTGCTCCTGTTATTAAGCTCACAATTACACCGTGGGATAACCAGGCCATTGGAAATCTGGGTTGTATTTGGGTGGCCTGTCCGAGAGTGGTGCAGGACTTAGAGAACATGGTTGAGCTTAGGGTGAAGCTCGTAGCCAGAACATTGTGCAGCTTGCTGTTGCTTGCATTTAGCTTTGGCCTACGCTTTAAAATATTGGGTGTCAAGTTGCTTATGCGTCAGCCTTGCTATTGTGTGATCGTCAACAGCTCGCTACTAGCTTGTCAGGTGTGCTCGCTTCGCTACGTCAATCTTCTTAGAACAGGTAGCTGTCTGGCATTGCTTTACAAATTTTGCGTGGGCAGTTGTTCCTAGCCTGTTCGAGTGTGGAAGGCATTTTGCAGTTGCTTTGCTTGTAGGCTATTCTGCAATCGTTACTGTGCATAGCTAAGGTTTTCTGCAAATTAACGTGTTACGTTGGGGTATTCTGCAATCGTACTGTGCCTAGCAAATAACTCATGCCACCTAGACGGTCAGACGTCTGGTGTCGGCAATATTTGCATAACCTACCTAAATGTCCTACACGTTGATGGAAAATTGCTCGTTCCTTGGCATTAAATACAAACGCACTCTCACAGTGCGAACTGGTTCATGTTTGCTGACAAACTTATAGAAGAAGAAGATGGCACAATCAGACTCCTCCCTCTACGGGCGGCTTAGGGCAAAAAACTACTAGTTCTCGCAGGAGGAAGTGATACACCTACGGAGCAAATGGACAGTATAGTGCAAGCTGGAGATTGTCTCAAGGTGAATCAGTGACGTTGCACTTGAGCTGGCAAAAATCAATCTTAAGCCAACTAGGGAACGAGAGCATTCGCAAAGGGAAGAATTTGATTGGGAAAGAGAAAGGAGGCAGTTTTCGCATTCTGTAAATAATTTTAGTTTACAGAAAGCATACAGTTTGTTCCCCGCTTCCATGAGGCCGAACCAGAACAATTTTTTCGAAAGCTTCGAAAATCAGGCTCGAAGCCTTGAGCGTAGCCGGAACAGCATTGGGATCGTTGGTTCATAACAGCATTGTGTGGTAAGGCACTGGAATTTACATCGTATTAAATGACGCTGAATTTTTCTGATTTCAAGTAGTGAAGAACCACACGTGTTGGAGCATATTTACATGTATCCCCAGCCAAATATAAAAAACTTATCAAGCTTGGGCAGACGACAGCTTGGGTCAATCCCTAGTGGACTTTGGTGAGACAGCAAACCAAAGCTTTTACCAGCTGGTAAAAAGCAAGTGGTGTTCTCCTACCTTTGAGGAGCTGGTACAGCTTATTCTGATTGATAAACCTGCTGGCGTCTGTGGACCAGAGGTTCGAGTCTTTTTTATTGGGCCAGGATCGTGCTTAACCACTGCATTGGAGGCAAGCCAGGTTGGTGATTACCTTCGAACTAACCGCTCTTGTCCGAGCGGTCCCGTTCTCTTTTCAAACAAAGCTGGCATGAGCAGAGATTGTCAACTTGGAGAATGAAGTGACAGCCGGAGGAGAATGTCTACGTAGCAACCTAGTCACCTGGTGAGCCCGCTTCTCAACTTATGGTCTACCTGCTGAGAGACAAACTACTCAACATGGTGGCATCTCGGACAACAGTATCCAGGAACACAGCCAGAGCGACACCAGTTGCAAGTCGCAGGGAAGTAAAGGGCAAGCCTGTCGTTGCTTTCTTTGTTAACAAAAGTTAGGTCATACCGTCCCAACTGCCCCCACAAACCCCAAACCATTGGGAAAAAATCTCTATATCCCTAGTAACATGTCCCCCGAGGAGAAGTAGAAAAGGTATGGCCTTATTATTCCAAGGGCGTCTTATTTCCCTTCAGGAAATCAGAAACAAACTGAAGTAAAGACCTTTTAGAGATATGGAGCATATTGCTCATTGTAAGAGAGGTCTATTTACCCCTTTCAGAGAACACTTCCTTGAATTCCTCTGTTTTATTGGAAGCATTTTGGAGGCGCTTATATAGTCTGTCCCTTTGCCTAAAATTTATGTTTAGTTGCAACTATCACTGGGTACTTGACTGTAGGAGTCTCAAAAGATTCCCCATTGAAAGATGCTGTTATTATGGGTATA